TTTCTCCTCCTTTTGCCATCTATGATGTGGAGATGACACACTCCTTGTCTTATCTTTCCTCACTATAATCCCTTCTGGAAAAAAATACTACTTCACAATTTGCCTGGAAGCGCCTGTAATGAGGTGGGTCTTGACTGAGATTGTGGCCTCAGGGCACAACTTTCAGTACACACCACAGCAGCAACATGGAAAGAGAGCTTCAGCTAGCTGTCCTCAGAAAAAACGTCCGTGTGCCTCATCCAGGCCGCTTGGAAACAAGCACGCTGAAGAAATCCTAAATGACTCAGGGCTGAGCTCATTTGAAACAATGACGGCAAAAACCACATGTGAAGGGGTGAAAACCCCTCTAATGACCACAGTGATGAGTTCTCAGAAATCATCAGCTGAGGGGAAACACATTCATACAGCCCACTCTTTGACACACAGAAATCACTCGGGCAAGGATGGCTTGCTGAAATCCTCTCACCTAGCTAAGCAGGGAGGCAAATTCGATGAGCAGGATGCGTTTCTGAAGCAGCTGGAGCACTGGGTGCACAGGCTCAGGCGTTCACACCTTCCTTCGGAAGGAATTTCTTCTCAGGGCAGCAGAGTAGTTTGTACAGATTTCAACAGTGACACTTGGTCAGGTTTTTCCTTACTTAATTTCAATCAAGTCTCAAAGCTAGGAAAGGAATTCCACCATGCGGGACATAATGCACTGCACAACAGCCCGGACTTGCAGAGTTTCTAGGTAAGGTTGGAGATGATCATTCATACTTTATGCCCACCACATCCTTGGTGCCTCTGTCAACATCCTTAACACCTACCTAATTCAGTTTCTGATCCGTTTACCTCTGTACTGGGACCACTAGTAGTTGCCCTACAGGGAACTCCACTGATGCAAGTCTACTCTGCTGTTTATGATGTATCGAAGAGTGTCTCTTCCTAGATACAGGGTCTATTCACATGCTTCTAGGTTGTTATAATTCACCAGACTAAACTCGTAATAGACAGGTTTCAATGCAACTAATGAAATAATTATGGAATATAGTACTATAAAAACTTAAGCAGCAAACCACTGAGGGTTTGACATATTTGCAGTCTGTATAGACATGGCACAAAGAATGGGAAAGAAAACAGGGATACAGAAAGATGAGATAACTAAAACGGAAGGGAAGGGTTTTTTCAGGTCTGCTACCATCAGACAATCCATAAATATAAAGGAAAAAAAGTTCAAACGAAAACCCCTTCCAGAAATAGAGAGAAAAAAGCCTAGACTTCCACATTCTGAAAGGGGCTACTGAAATACCAAATAAGAGGTGAGTATGTTCACCTTCAACCCATCATGTGCCCATTTTGCCAGCTAGAACTACTGAGCAAATTCTACCCAAAGTCCTGCAGAGGTCACAGGGTGAAGAAACCATGCTTCTGAGCAAGTGTACCTTTTGCCAGAGTTTGTCAGACTATCTGCGAAACGGGTACATTTCAGGCCACTCACCACTTCACTAGCCCCTGTATAAAGCTTACAAGAGCCCAATTTCATGTAAGTGCTAGCGACAACGATCACCGGTGGGATCACTCATCAGTGACACGTTTCCGAAGTGCAGAAAAAAAATCCATGCTACTAGCTTTTAGGAAAAAGAAGAATACACACAGCAACAAATATGCTTCAGGTCTGCATTCATGTTGAGAATGAAATGGGTTCATTGTGTTCTACTTTACCCACAGAGGTACAAAATGCAAGTGGCTTGCATTTCTTCTTCTCCTTTCTCTTTTTAATTTTTCACTTCTTTTTGACATTGTCAGAAGACTCCATTATGCCCGAGGAGTACATCAGACAGATAACTGCAGTCAATCCATTTAGCTCCACAGAGTAAAGTGGCCATACTAGCAACAAATTTCATTTCCCATAAGGAATGAAACTCATCTTGCAAAGCGTGTTATTTCAGAGAACAGAGTTTAAAGGAAGTACTTGCCTAAGTCCTTGACAGCACAGGCAGGAGCCTCGTCTTTGTTTCACAGCAATTTATCGATGCAAAAGAGCTGAGGATTGGGCCTTTAAGTTGCTACATCTCCTGATATATCTCGTCTCCAGAAAAAAAATATTTGCTTGTAGAAGTCCTCCTTTACTACTGCGGTCAAGAGGAATGCCACCATTGACTTTAACAGAAGTGAACCAATCTGGTAGGCAGTGAAGATGTTCTACAGACATAATTCACACTTGCAAAATGCACTCTTCTTTTATTAAGCTTGAAGTCTCTACTCCCTTCCTGACCCGTGGCATCAAAACTTTACACTAATTTGCCAGATTTGTTTTCCTAATTCACTACACCCAGCTGGGGGTCTCCTGCCCTTTGTAATAACCCCTCCAAGTGCCAGTACAGCACCAGTCCGGACTGGTTGTATGGCTCAGAACAGAGGCAAGTAAACGCACAGTGGGAGATGGTATTTTTTCTTACTTGCGTGTAGACTCATCTTTCTACTTGCCTCCCTACAGTGTTACTAAACACCAATTTTTTTTTTTTCTTTAAAGTTTAGCCAGAACGGGCACAACTGATTTCCTGACGTCTTGGAATCCATCCAAACCATCCATTAGCCACGAGTTCACAAATTGATACATCTTCCAAAAGGCTCATGGGCAACACTATTGTCTCTAAAAATAAGTTAACTTAGGGTAAATGAAAACAAGATTTACTAGCTGGGACAGGTCACATGCTGTTAATAACTCAGAATTTATGAACTGTCATCCACAAGACTCCATTCATCTGCAGCGATAAGGGGCCTTTAGACCACTCAGCACAGTAAATCTCCGTTAAATCATTGTTATTTATGTGCATTGCGTACAAGGCATACACATGGAGCACATCTCCACTGTGCTAGGCACTATCCAAACACTATGGTAGGTCACCGCGTTCACGTTACCTTGATAGTGGTGGTGGTTGATATAGATCTGGGACATAGCCCTGAGTAGGAACACCTATCCGCATCTCTTCCTACACCTCCTTTCCTATCTGCTTCATCAGCAGATGATGTAGAACATTTATGAGCCAGACAGGTAGTTCATGCAGGACAAGGGACTAGCTAGAGAGGCCGAGTTCCTAATCACAAAGGTTAGGTCCTTGGTGTAACGATGACCAAGACACACTGAGGCCACAACGGAGCCCTAAAGATGCACTGCTATGGAAGACCTTGCCTACACTGCTGCTCCCTCTCACTGGTTTCTTTTGGTTCTTAAAGGCTAGGTTTGCTGCTACCTAGCAGAAAATGTAGCACCCAATTTCTAAATTAGAGACCTGCTCTTCCCCTTTGGCACAGGGCATCTGGTCTTCCTCCCACGTTCTAAAGTCTTCTCAGCAGCATCAGTCCAGAACAGAGAGAGGTTGCTACCACTGACACTAATATGCGACTGGAGAGGCTCCCCTCCTACCATGATCTCCCATGCTGAACTAAAAGACCAATTGCAGACCACTGGAGGGGAAGTGAAACCAGTTAGCACCGAGTGCCCTTAGGGACTCCCCGAGATTCCAGTGCTTTTACACTGTCACTGCTCTGTATTCCTTCAAACTGTACATAGCCCGCAGCACTGCAGGACTAAACACAGGGTCCATTTCTCACCCCCAGATAGCTCCCCAGACCCCCATGATCCACAGTACACAATCGTTGTCTACAGTACCCATCTCAAATACACCTTGTAGTGAGGGCTAGTAGAATCACGTCATCTCAGGCTTGGAGATGTCAAACCAGAGCCTTGGGTTTTTGCTGCTTCTGAGTCCTCAGCTTGCTCAACACCTAAGATCCTGTACAGCAGTTTCACTCAAAACTTCCAAAAATATATTATCAATGAATAACGATTCTTAATGAACAACACTGAAAACCAACCTTAAGGGACTAAGCACAATCAATGACCAAGCCTCACAAAGTGACTGTGTCATTCTCAGGCCTAAATGCGTGCGCCCCATGAAGCTGCGCAGTCAGCCTCACGACACACAGGGCAGAGCCAGCCCTTCAGAAACTCTCACTCTGGGAGCCATTGGTGTGTGCGCTGGAGGGGAAAACTTTACTTCATGCTTAGGGTATTTACATCACGGTTAAGAAGTATTTCTGAGTCCCCATCTGTTTTTCAGTATCAGACGATTTTCTGTGGTAAAGGGGCTGTTAATGTGGGGCAGAGATACACCCCTATGGAAAAAAAGCTGTTTAGAATCATCTAATATCATGTCATTATAAAGAATGTTACCACCAAGAACGCATATATATCAGTGCTGATTGCGGTCTGGTCTCTCTCTCTTTTTTCCCCTAAAGGCTTCAGTCCTGACTCAAACATACAGATATTTACATGATGGGTGAACACCACTCAAACGATATGAAAATTGCCATGACTGAAAGTGCTCTCAGCTAGCAGTGGGAAAAAAGCTTTTACCGAAACCACACAAAACGGTGAATGCACAAGAGAAGCAGTGCCAGGGTGGCTAGAAGCGTCTGTGAAAACGGTACCCTCCGATACACAAGCTGGTTGAAATCTTCCTCGCAGTTACACCCACTCAACTGCTATGCTCCAACAAGCAAACCTGTCTACATTCAAAGGCCAATCGCTACCAATTCCATTGCGGCACGAACAGCAACGCTTCTTCAAGTCTTGACTCAGATAAAATAGAAAACCATTCCAAAAAAAAAAAAAAAAAAATCAATCAAGTTAGCAAGTCAAATCCATATTCTTTTCTTGAGGTTTACAGGGCTTAACCGATACCTTAATCCTGCCACTGACTTTGCACAAAGAACTCTGGAAAATGCCAGAATTTTACTCGTTTTCTGGACGTTATTTGTGGCAGTAGATAATTCCTAACAACTCTGCACAACCATCCAGTATCTAACTGTAAGAGCCATTTCACAGTTAACTTTTATGATTAAAACAGGTGATTTCAAATCTTTTCGATCTTTTAAAGCTGAAATCCGATTCCAAAGGCTGTAAATCCCAAGTTGCCACTGTAACCTAGAAGGAAACATCGAAAAGGAAAGCCTACCTGAGCACCCCCAAATTCCTGGTGCATTCTCCATCAGCTGCTGCGTGCATTGTCCCAAGCACAGGCTCCGCTTCAGGCACAGGAGAGCTGAGCGTCATGCAGGAACCAGGGCAGAAACCATACAGAAGGATGATCTTTTATGGAGATGCTGGCCTGGTACTTGGGAGATCTGGATTTTCCCTCCATCACTAGCATGGCCATTCCTACGTGCTCTCAGCAAGCCACCCAATTTGCGCTTCTATTGCCTGCCTGTAAAGAGAAAAGGAAACAATTCGTGTCTCACTGGCTGTCTCGCCTAGTTAGAGTGCAAGCTCGTTGGAACAGGACTATCTTTCACTGTGCTTTTTGCCCAGCCCGGATGTTACTGTCACTCCGTCTCAAAACAATAACACTAATAAGCAGTGGCTGCTAAGCAGTATACATGAGTAGATAGAGATATACATTTAGACCCCTCCCTGCCCCAAAACTGTGGTCTGTTTTTTCTTTGCAGGAAGGAAATAGTATGATGAAGACTTCAGGCTCAGATGCATTATGGAAATATCAACAGGAGGTACAATTACTGAAACAACTTTTCGGAGATGCTGCTAGTGTCAAATCTCCTGATTTACATAGATCTACGTTCCTGTTCTCTGGGACAGCGTCCACAAACTCTGCTTTTAAGCTCTCCGGTGATTTATTGAAAAGTTTCACATTGCACTAGAACAACGTGTTTTGCACGCATTAGTATAGGCGGTTTAACTTCAAAATCCTGGTCATAAAATACACCTAACCAGTCTTAAAAGTTTAACAAACCTGCAGACAACGGCTGGGCAAATTACTGCTTGCTTTCAATGTAACAGCAAGTTGCCACTTTGGCATAGCCTACAGAGACAACGCAGCTCCTATGCAGAAGGCCTACGGCGCAGGACCATACTTCATTTCCCAGCCGTTTCTAGTACGCCACAAATCTCAGCTATCGGACATATCGGACAACAAACTGGCAGCTGCCACAGGGAGCCACTGACCTAACTGGAACCGTTACTAAGAGTAGTTGGAACCGAACAGGTATTTTGGGGCAGACTGACCCTGCAGCTCAGTATATCCTGTCTTTGAGGGCAGTGAGGAGCGAATCTTCAGGGATGGGTTTAAGAAACAGAGCCTGCATTCAGTAAACACACCTCTAATACAGCCACCTTTGAGCCATGATCTCTTTGGAAGCTCAGAGGTAACTGGTTACTAACACTGAATTAATTGCGTCCCCCCCAGCAAAGCTCTTACTTTCCCCCCCTCGAAGGGCTGGCTCCCAGCTCATGGACTTCATTCAGCTCAGGCCTCCCCTCCTTGCTGCTCCCCTTTCTCCCTCCTCCACTTCCCAAACGTTGCATGAAGAAAACTCCCACTGCAGCATGTGGGAGCAAAGCAGGGCAGGGCTCTGGTTTCTGACAGTGCCTCAAAGGTGACGTACTTTCCAGTGACCTAATTGCCAACAGAGGCACATTTCCCATCAACTTCATGTAGGAGCCAAAATGGCCAACGCAAAGCACTTGTGCTAACCCCACTTTGCGCTCCGCTGCTCAAATGTATCCTAGACCTATCCCATGGTGGCCGCAAAGCACGTGAAGACCATGATGTAAATGAGGCTTTCCTCAGTGAGGGCGGAAAAGCAGCACTCGCTGGCACGTACACAAAGCAGCACAGCTGAGCACTAAAATAAAGGAGCTGAAAACAGCACCCAGCATTCACCCAGAAAGCTAACAACTGGTTTTCTCTTTGGCAGCTCCTACTAAAACATTAACGATCACTGCTCAACCCCATTCTGCTTCCATGTTGGGATTAAACCCCGAGACATGCAAAGTCCATGAAAATCATATTGCAAAACTGAGGAGGCCGATAGCATGTCCACTAGCTGAAACATCCAGGGTCAGCAAGAGTCCTCAATCTGGAGCCTCGAGCCGTCACTGATTCGGAGGAGTTTCTAGCATAGCAGTTTTGTCTGCTCTGCACAACAGACATCAGCGTGGGACACTGGGTTCCTAACGAAGCAAGATTCAGACAGGATAGTAACGCCTTTCTGAAATGCTTTCAGGTAAGCTGTCCCACTTGGTTGCCATCTCTGAAGAGGCACTTTAAATGATAGCTGCCTACATTGATGCCCACCTAGTCCATATCATCATACTCCGTTATGGGCTATGCATGCACCTCGCCTTCAGGCGCCTCTGCAGCTCCCAAACAGTTCTGCAACACCTGCCCGCGCAAGGGAGGTGGCCTACAATCTTGTGCACCCGTTTCTTGGGTTTTTGGCTTTCTCGTCAGACCACAGGCGCTCACAGGGTCAGATGCCTTTAGGACACCTGGCTCTGCCTCTGTCCACGTAACCAACGATTGATTGTTGCTGTGCCAATGCGGTGTCCTGTCTCGGGTTACTAAAAATACACAGCAATATCAATGCCACGAGCATGTTTAGAACTGCCAGCTTAGAGCGCTCAGAAGCTGCGGACTAGCCCCCATGTCTAAACAACTGCTACTCTCACTTGGTATTACTGCTCAGGAGTGCCAAGATCACACAAACCCTTTCATCCAGAAACACCAGATTCAAAGTTTTGTTAAAAAATTCCCCTTGCTCTACCAACTTCCTTACTCATTCTCAGATCCCCTTTTCCCGCTCTCCCCATACCCCTCTTCTCTCCCCACCCCATCTTGTTTCTCTTTGCAAGGCCTTCCTCTCTAGAAATCATGCAATTTCCCTTTGGTAGAGATTAGCAAGTGCAGCTTGTGCCTCTGGCGCTCCTGTGGGTTTGGCCATTGTGCCTGGGATCCCTCGGTTGGGAGTAGTAGGTGGAAAATGATTATGCAACTTCTTGCACTCAATGGTCCCTCTGTGCATGTGCTGTAGCTGTGGGCGGTGGTTAATCATGTTCCGCTCTGCACTGCTCTTGTATCTGTAATATATCGTTTTCTTCATTAAGCCAGTGGCTGCAGCCATGGGGCCTACATGTTCTTCTACATTTGAGCCCCCGTGCAAGGGGTCATGGGTGCTTGTCGACCTCACCATACACGCAAGCAGCCCGCGGGTCTTCAGGAAAAATATACTGCCAAAGCCTGTTCCTTTTCTTATTCCTGTGCTGTTTGCAAAAACAGGCAGAACAGTAAGGCTAGCTGAAGTCTTGGGGAAGGGAGGATAAGAGGAGAGCACAGAGGAAAGAACAAGGAGAGACAAGAGAAAAAGCATTCTTCAGAACAGATTTTCCAAAGGAATGCAACAGTTGGAGCAGCGCTGCTCTCAGGGGGAAGAGCACTGCTCAACAGCTGGACAGCCAAGGAAAGGCCAACTTTTTCTCTCTCCTTCCCAAACTCTTATTTTTAGGATTCACTACTGTAAGGATGTGTCAGGCCATCTCTCCAGGTTAAGGTTTTCCACCCATTTTCCCGGGAAACCACTCTTTGGATCAGTAGGGCTCAAGGCCATGCCCTCCTCGAGCACAAATTCCCCATAACTTTCAGTGAAGCTACAACTGACAAGAGCAGATCGTTTCAGCCCATCCTTACACTTTTCTAACATCCTCTGCTTCCTCTTATGCTAAAGTCCCTTTGGGCTGGGCTAGAGTTCCTCTTCCTTCCAAGTGGTTTGCCCCTTCAAATGCTTGCAAGTACACCTCTCTTTTCATCATTTAAGCAAGAAAGGTTTATCTGTTGTAACCTCTCCTTCAGTCCCTCTCTCACTCACACTCAGTCGGTACAGAGCCTCCTGTTCCTTCACATCTTTGAAAGCTTATGTGAAGCAAGCAGAAACCCCAAGACTTCTGAGGTCAGACTGGGTCTGGCCCAGGATGTAGTCAAAGCAACCAGCAGATTAAGAGCCATTAAGGAACCTCAACCAGACTTCAACTATAAAACCAAATACTTCCTGAAGGGCTGAAGAACACATGCCTGAGGGACAGTGCTTCTTTATATCCAGCCTGCTCCCAGCCGTGCTGTGTGCACTC